TGTAAACTACTACGTTTACGTTCGATGGTGTACTTTTTCTTTTTTGCATTTGCAAATTTTTCGTATTACGAAAATCTCACGTGCTCGAAGAGAGTTTCACGAGCTTCTGACAAGTGAGTGAACTTGTGATTTGACAATAGTTATTTAGGAGGGGGATAAAGGGAACTTGTCTGTACTCACGCTAGGGATATTATCGTTGGTACAGACGCCTTCCTGGAGCAAACGATCTCTGATCTCCCACGCAAAGATGGAGGGGCACTCGCTCTTGTAGAGGGAGATCTTGCTGACGACTTCTGCCGTGGCTACGCGCGGCTTACTGCCACCGATCGCTCTGGGCCTGATCGATCCGGTTTCATAGTACCTGCAATAATAATAATTTGCGGTACAATACGGTACACCTTGACGACTCTTGCGAATCTTGGAGCGAATGTATCGAGAAATCTTTCTCCCAACGTTCCCAACTGATTCCCCCGGAAGGGAATTTCCCAATGTATAATAGAGGCAGAGTGAGCAATATTTCAACCAACCTCCCAAGAATCTTCGAGACGCAGCCATTGCTAACCTGTAGGATCCTAGAGATGTCGCAAGGTCTTGCGCCCGAATGCGCCAGCTCGACGATCTTTTGCCTCGTCGAGTCTGGAAGCGGTCTACCGCCGACGAACACACCTCCAAGCTGATTCACGCCACTGTGACCTGAAAAATAAAACGACACATCGATCAACAAATGAGACCGTGACGGACGTCTTTTAAAAAGCAACTCTGACAATTATATATTATATATTTCCTTTCCTGAAGAAGGCTGAAGATTCCAAATTTCTTCGTATTTCCTCCACTATGTTTCTATCGCAACGACTGTTCAATATTTTGCGGTATTTTTTCCCCCAAGACGTGTGCGCGAGACGTCTTTCTCTGTCTTTTTCTTCTTCTTGGAAAATTTCTTCCCCCCTCCCCCCAACAAAAAAAAAAAAAAAATTAGGGCGTGGCAGGGCTGCGACACGGTGGCCCGTCTTCTTCACGGCGGCTGCCGGAATATAAAAGATTCGCGAGGACGACACCGAACGCTGCCGACTTTCGTGTGTGTTCGCCGTGTCACCGACACAATGAGTCGAAGATTATCTACGATGGGATTCGCTAACGTTTTAACGCCCTGCAGCCAACCCCTCAGCCACGCTCGTTCAACCCTCTTGGAGAACGAACAGCTTCCACAGAAGAAAGAAAACCTGTGCCCCTCCTTTTCTTCCTTCTTCTTTCTTTCTTTCTTTCTTTTTTTTTTATTTACAGAAGATCTCGAAGAGGAGGGGAAAATACGTGATCTATGACGACGAAGGTATTATATAGAAAATGTGAGAATATTTCACAGAGACTCGCTCTCGTGTAGAGGTAGAATCGCACAAATTAAATCTTTTTAAGCACTTTTGACGAAGAGAGACCCTGACGAAATTTTTCACCACGTTCTCGTCAGAAAAAATTCAAAAATATTTCCTCTGCTACTTCAACTGGTTGGGTGATACGGGAGAAGTTTCAACAATCTCGCAGTGTAAGAGAAAAAAGCAAAGACACACTCAAGGGAGGCAATCTGCTTGCCTTCTCCTTTCCAAACGAAAAATCCTTTTCCCAAGTAGGAGGGGGACCTTTAATTTACAACGCGTGTTTACACGTTGCCGATTGCTGAGTTATAGATATACGGGGACGAGAGAGAAAGAAATTTCTTTCTTTTTTTTTTCGAATGAAAGGGACGCACACTCGTATCGGCTAGATATAGAAGCGCGAGGAATCGTCCCGGCGATTCGCGCGCGCGCGAGCCCCATTTTCGAAAGTCAATCGACCGTGAGCTATCCCCCTCCCCCCTTTCGTCAATCGCATACGCTCGTAAATCTCCCTTATAACTCGCGCCGAGACTCAGGGAGGGGGGGGAGAGGGGGAGGGGGGTAGCTGACGACGACAACGCTCGTCGAATTAGCACCGTCTGGAAATTTTTGTCGCCAACTTTCCTCTCGCGTAAAGAATACCTGCCAACCGAACGCTTTTGGGAAATTGTTGTGCCTCTCCAACGACACTGCGTTCGAAGGTATTTAACGCTAAACGCACCAAGTGGCCTCGAATGACCCCTTTTCAAAATTTACTTTAAAATTCGTTGTCATTTCTTTCGCTAATCTGACTTCTTGTAAATTCTTATATTATCTGATTATTCGATTTCTTAAAAAATTCTTTGCATACCTTGTGTACCGCGAGGAAAAATTTTCACCCCTTATGGTAACATAGGTATATGTAAAATGCCGGTACGTTTAGTGTTAAATACAGTTTCAATTATAGAACTAGAAATTTTCGTTTATATTCACTTGGTATTGTTATGCATAGATAATGAAGCTCTCTCTGCTTTGTTTCTCAAATTTGTAAAGAAAAGAGAAGAAAGCATAGTGTTAAGAATTAGTAAATGGCTATAATAATTTACTAATAGAATTGCCAAAGATTTAGGACATTTAATATAAAATTCTACGTGATAGTGATCAGCAGAAAAAGTCATTTGACCCCTTATATTATGGTAAGATAGGTATACGTGAAATGCTGGTACGTTTAGTGTTAAACCACGACGACGTATCATTTAGATACGAAACTTCGAGTTACAGGGAGCGTTTAAAAATAGTTTATCGATTGTCAACTACTCATCTTCACTTCAACCCTTTAATTAAGAACTAATTTAAAATCATGGCGTTGCGAAGAGCCTAGTAATCTAGTAGAAGAGGAAGAAGAGGGAGGAAATTTGTTAATACGCGCGTATCTATCTGCGTGTAAAAGCTATGAAAGAAAAAAAAAGAGAAAAGGGACACGACTGGATGGATTTGAAATAACCGCGGTGCCAGAGCAAACAGCAAAGGGGAACAGGGGTCACAGCCGAGACGGCTAATGAAGCCCTAATAAACGACAGGCTTAGAGCTTGCCACCCTTCCTACTGATATTTAATGCAAACGTTACAAATATCAAAACACGTCCTCCGACAGAATGGCCACTCGAGCGCGCCCCTTCATCGCTCGCTGCTAATACGCGCGCAGTTATATGATGGTCCGACTGACTTGAGAGCGTGCCCCTTCATCGTTACTCTCTATCCTCTTGTAGATAAACAGAGGCACGCGTAAAGATACTACTACTACTACTACTATTCTGTCCTCTTTCATCTCAAGTATTTTCTTGCAATTTTTTTTTTTTTTTTAATAGAATTTTATGAGTAAATTTCCGATCATCAGGATCATTAATTAAAAAAAGAAAAAAAAAAGGAAGAAGTGCTCGTATTTGAATAAGTATCTCCTCCGATCGAAGGAGGCTGTATCACATGTAATCAATTGTAACACAGAGTTATCAACACATCAGATATTCATAAATCAACAGCGAAAGGGCAACAAAGGGATAAACAAAGAAATGCAACGGGGGCAAATGTCGCTAAATCTCCTTCGCCCCCTTCTCTCTCTCTCTGTTTCTCTTTCTTGCACTCTCTGTACGATACTACTACTATTCTGTCCTCTTTCATCTCAAGTATTTTCTTGCAATTTTTTTTTTTAAATAGAATTTTATGGGTAAATTTTCGAATATCAGTCATCAGGATCATTAATTAAAAAAAGAAAAAAAAAAGGAAGAAGTGCTCGTACTTGAATAAGTATCTCCTCTGATCGAAGGAGGCTGTATCACATGTAATCAGTTGTAACACAGAGTTATCAACACATCAGATATTCATAAATCAACAGCGAAAGGGCAACAAAGGGATAAACAAAGAAATGCAACGGGGGCAAATGTCGCTAAATCTCCTTCGCCCCCTTCTCTCTCTCTCTGTTTCTCTTTCTTGCACTCTCTGTACGACCCTCGTTGTGCGAAAAGGGCGAGGAAGACGGCGAATTATCGAGTTTCAAATGCCAGTGCTCCTTAACGAGCGATAATAACTCGAGCAAATAGCGTGCATTTCTAGAGCGTTAGTTAGTTTCTGCTCGCGTACGTTGTAAACGCCAAGAAAAAACAGCTAAGGAGAAGGAAGGAAG